CAACACACAGAATTACATGGAAGAACTAACATGGGGTGTAGGGGTTAAGAGAGTCCTATACATCAAGGGCATAGGAAGAGAAGGCAGAGTTCTACTGCTGTTTCTAAACAAGAAAGCAACTAGATCAAAGCAACAATGTGCTCTACAAATGGCACGAGGGCCTCTTTGACTCTGTGCCTCATCATGCCAAAGTCATATTGGAACCTCTGTCGCCACCCATCCACCGTGGGGACGATCCCTCTAAAATGTTTATTGTTACGTTCCTTCCAAATGCTCTAGGCTGCAGTCATCTTTCATTAGTGTCCTGGTTCAAATTTCTCACGTTCTTTTGTCTGTAGTCTGGTTGGTAGCAGTTCCTTCATTTTTCTGCCTTTTGGGAGTAGGTGATGATTTTGCACCTTGTTCCTCTGCATATAGACTCCTCTATTGGAAATTTTGCAATTATTGCAGCCCTATTACACTTTCACAGGGAAATGAAGTTGTACAATTGCTTTAATCTCATGTTTCAATCCTTCCACATACATAATAGGATGCAAATAACAAGAGTTCATCATATATATAGCTGTAGTTGCTATATATTGTGCATTGGAATAGAATGGACCGAAAATAGTGTAGTCTGCAATCTCTTCATTTGCAAAGACAATTAGCAAGACGAAACTAGCTAGCAACATATGATGAGACCTTTTAGTTATTTGTACATAGAGATACAACAGCCAAAAATATGTATATGCACTGATCTCCAGCTAGTTATTTTAGTGATGCTTCTTTCTAAAAAAGTTGCTTATTATTATGTCTTTTTGGTACTGCTGTTTTACAGGATTTTGATGTCCTAACCATGCCAATCAACTTTCTGGATATTAAAGAGCAGATCGCCAAGTTCATTATGGAGCAGATCATCACAAAGGGAATTCTGAAGCTGCATATATATGATTAATAATACCATGTTGGAATCATTTTGTGTCTCTATGTTAGCGTGTAGACTTTAATTTGAGAAGAGTAATATAATGTCATTTGTTAGGATGATGTATTAACGATATTGATATTAATATCATTATTTAAGTGTTTGATCTATGTATATTAATGCCATTTGTTAGGATGCTGTATTTTGTGCGATGGTTACTGTATGACACATGGACGCCCTATGTTATAGACGCGCGCGCATGTCATGGAGGGCGTCTGTAGCACACAGTTCTATTACAGACGAGTGTAAGTACAAGCATTTGATGTATTTGTTTTTTACAGACACATGTTCAAACGGTCGTCGCTAGTTTTTTTTTATGTTACAGACGCGTGTGAGTACAACCATCTCCTATATTTGTTACCTACAAACCCCTCTTGGAACGTGCATCACTAGTTTATTATGTTACAGACGCGCAAATTAAGCGTATGTGATAGCATCTTCTTACAGACGCCTCATGACAGACGCGCGGGGCGTCTCTGATAATAACTAACAAGCGTCTGTAAAGCTCTTTTTTTTACATAGTGTAATGTGTAGACAAGTAATAGACTACTACTTGTTGTATGACTTGACTCTTATATCTTGACTAATAGCCAATCACTTGTCTCTATTATTAACCTTGCTCTAAGGAATTGGATTTAGCAATGGCACAATGATCATTAATGAACTGATCAGAACCCTTGCAAGGCACGGTTCGTTTATGAAAGAAGTCATCTTGAAAATGCTGTTAGAAGCTAAGTTGGGTTTGTCAGGATATGCCAAATAGATGAAAACAAAGGGTACAACTCAGGGTCTCTTGCCCAGGTATTTCTTTGATAAATAAAAAAAATAAAAAATGACATCTCAATTTATGAAATATTGCACCGTTCTTAAATATAGGATATTTATGACAAGTAAGCTAGTCCATTTTTGAAATAAATGGATTGTCCTAAACCACATATATCTAAGAACGGAGATAGTACTCTAGGCAATGATGGCCAGACAATTCACCATTAAATTGCTATCCAAATAAAATGAGCATTGGAGTAAAAGTTTGAAATAAATATGATCCCAACTTGATCGCCTAATCCACTCGTATCTCCATTACTTCAACAATTTTAAAGAATACAAGCCAAAGCAATCCCTTATATGGATGTTGTGACCCCTTATGTATATATACTTTATCCATTTTGAAATATTATTTAAGTGTGCCTGGTACGTTTACCTATTTTTCACAAATATTTACTGAAAAGATGAATAGTCAAAAAAATGAAAAGAAAAGGTCAATGGCGACAAATATTTCAGACAAATAGTCAGACATATTATCATTTGCCTGAAGTCAAACATATTATCCTAGCAAACTCAAATCAACTAGACCCACATGTCATCCACAAGTTCGTTTTCCACAAGTAAATCTGTGAATGAAATCGTGCGTTCAGAAATGAATTTGACACACACAGAGGTTGCAGCGTTTTCTGAGACTCTATTGACATTTTATTTATTGGTGATTACATGACTCAAAGGAACGGCCCTGGGAGCTCGATCCTTCTCACATCCCGCCACGCCATTGTCGCGTCCATCCCCACGACGCAGGACGTGAAGAGCGAGTCCAAGACCGGAAGCTAGACTCGGTACTGCGAGCTACCTATTCTCGCCACCACTACTTGCACGGCGTCACACAACTCGTGAGCTCATGCACACCACGTACCTGACAGTACACGCTAACAAACTAACAGACTCGATACTTGAACAGAGCTTGTTGATCATGAGCAACAAGCTAGGGACCGAACGCAGAACGCGATTTATTGTGACACAGATGCGTGATAAGCTAATAATAAAATGGACACGTACGTGCAGTTCATTCCTCACACCGCGTGCCGTAGCAAACCCCGGCAGGATATAAACAACCGCAGTTACCGCAGCAATCCATAGGACGAAACATGCAAAAACCGCCTGCTGGGAGGCAAGCCAGCTTTGACTCTGCCAAGAAGACATCCATGAGGCGAGGCATCTGCAACTTTCTTGCCGCCAGCATGCTGGGCGGCGTGGCCGAAGCCGGCTCCACAGCTGCCATCAGCAGCAGCGCCGCCAGGATCGCCACCACCGCCATCTTAGTGGTCGCCATTGCCTCTCCTCTCTGCCTGTGCCTGTGCCTGTGTGTGTTCTTTCCTGGGCGCTTCTTGCTTTTGGCTTGCAAAGGCTCCGTCCCTCCGATGCTTCTTATAGGCGACGGAGACGGGGAGCGGTCTTTGCTCGGAAGTCGTGGAGTAAACAAAATGAAGATAATCTTAATTATTGCATATATAAATCACGTGTTCAACATGCTTTATCTAATAGAATTTAACATGTTTTAGTTAATCATGAAATATTTATTATTTCATTCCATCCACTAAATATGACCAGACACATATACGTACCTTACCTCTACCCTATGAGCACCTCCGAGAGACTAAGCCGACAGATTTTTAGATTGACAAAGTCATAACTGTCGCTTCGCTATCGACGGGTACATCACCTACCTGAAAAAATAACACCGGTTAAATCTTAGAATAAATTTAGAAATATACGAGCACCAGCGCCCAGCCGAGTACTTAAATGGTGGTGGCCAGGTTTCACCACAAATAACCTTACCAGTTGAGCGACGCTTTGTTCACACGTTGGATCAGTTCATTTGAATTCAAATGGCAAGGGGTGTTCATTTCCGCCAAAGTTTTCACCAAAATCTCACATCAAAGAGAAACTCACATTCATGTAGTATGAATGTAGACGAAAGTAACCATTACATGGATGGAATGGATTTCGCCAGACGAATCTAATGACCCTAAATCCATATAAGTAGCCCCATTAGATTCTCTTTTGATGTGATGGGTGAAACTTACATGCATGTAGTATGAATGTAGTCTCGCGATTTACAGCCCATCCATATAATGGGTTATTTTTTTCATCTACATTTAATACTTCATGCATCTAAGTCCTTTGATGTGATGGGTGAAAAAAAATTTGGGGTCCATCTAAAGCACTGCGGCGCCATGTGGATGAATATAATTATTGGTGCAAAGGCGAAGCCCAGCCATGCATGTGAAGTTGTACCCTATAGCCGGCCACACTGCTCTGCTCCCTGGCTACAGTATGCAACGTCACACAGTGATAATAGTGGTGGCGTTAAACTTGCAATGGACCTAGTCAAAATATTTTTACAACGGCAGAAGCAGAACCAATGGGCATTGACGCATTGTTACATACCGTTCCAGAAGAAAACAAAACATCCTAACCCGATATTTGCATTCTCCTCAGGTAAATCTTGCACTCAGAGCAACTTCAATAGGATGACCCATTTTGTCCGCCTCCGTCCGTTTGGATCGGCGCGAACAAAAATAGAGGCCCAAAATCACGTCCACCTGGCGTCCGCGCGGACCCATTTCCGGCACAAAATTACACCTGGAATGCGTCGACGCGGACGCGAAGCGGACGCGTCGCGCGTATCCTTGGCGTCCGCCGCGTCCCCACCTGTAGGCCACCATACCGCCACCGGTCGTCTTATTTATGACGACCACCGACAGCGGGCCCACTTGTCAGCCTCAGGAAGGGTCATTTTTTAAGCACGCGTGCGGCAGGTGGCCGGCCTCTTCCACTTCTCCCGTCCACATCTAGCCCCCCACGCTTGGTTCATCACCGGTGACAGGAAACCCTAGGATGCCATGGGCATCTTCGGCAACAATGGCAAGGGCAAGGGCACCCCCGGCGCCTCGTCCTCCCGTGCTCCCCCTCCCCCTCCACCACCGGCGCGTTTCCGCCCTGAACGTCGTTGCCTGACATCCCGGTGCACCAAGCGCGGTGGCACTGGGAGTACATGCAGCCTCTCCCTTATCCCGGCGTGACGCTGCCGCACCATTGGCACTTGGATCCCCAGCGGATCCTGGTGCTGGCGGTTCCGCGGAGCCAGCGGGCGCACGACGACGAGGTGCACCGGCGCCGCGCGCAACTCACGCCGGAGCAGTATTGGCTGCCCGAGTATGCCGCCGACTCTCCCAACTGGGAGGCTTGGTTCTCCCTCGAACACGAGGAGCAACGTCACTCGGGTGTCGACGCCGTCCTACCGCCGTTCCCACTGCCGCCCCCGCAGGTATAGTCGGAGGACGAGGAGGCGGATGTGGAGTACCAGGCCGCCCTCGAGCAGGCCCTGCAGCAGTCGCTGGAGGCTAGCCGCCTCGAGGAGGATGCGCGCTGGGATGGGCTGGAGCAAGCCCTCGCCCTGTCGGCGGTGGGGGACTTCGTCCACTCCCCGTTGTTCGTGCCGCCACCGCCACCGTCGCCACCCATCCAGCCCAAGCCGGACCCGGAGCCGACGTGGAAGTGCTCCCCGCCTCCACCCACTTGGCCGGACGAGGCCTACTCATAGACGGGCTAGTACCGCGAGTGGGTGAGCTTGCCCCCCGTCCACTTCGCCGCGACGCCGGAGCAGGAGGCCGCCACCTCGAGCGTTGGAAGGCGCACTTGCTCTGCCAGGAGCAGGCCGACGGCGAGCAGCAGATGTGCTACGAGGCCATGCTCCAGCATGATGCGGAGGCGCTCCGGTCGAGGAGGAGGAGGAGGAGCGTGCACGGCTAGCCGCAATGCCGCCGCCCCAGCAGACGCTAGGGCGGACGCCGGAGGCGGCCGCCCTGGCAGCGTACCAGGCGGCGTTCGGGTGGGAAGGCCCTGCTCCCGTCTACATCAACCTCACCGGCGATGGTGACGGCGGCGTCGACGCCAAGGGCAAGGGCAACGCCGACGACATCTAGGATAGCGTGCGGGGCGGCATATGGTGGGTGCAGACTTTTTTAATGTTTTAATTAATATTTAATTAGGTTTAAGTGGACTTTGCCCAGCGTTTGACCGGTCAGCAATCATTTTTTTTTGCATGCCGGCACATTTGAGCCCCCCCCCCCGGTTGGGCGACCAAGTCGATCCATTTCAGAATGCGGACGCACACGTTTGCCTGACCGACCCAAACGAACAAAAAGCGGGCAAAAGTGATGTCCGTTAGGGTCCGCCCATTGGAGTTGCTCTTACGATGTTGTTGGTGTTACCTTACGCATAACTCTTCGGGATACCTGCAACACAAGTCCATGCATTCCAGCCACCTACGGTACAAACGTTTCCCGCGGTGCCCACCTACCCTAGCGCCCGCCAAAAAAATATAAAAGAAATGACGACGAAGAGACTGAGATCACTATTGGATGGCAGTCATCCATGTGTTGTTGTCGGTGGTGTTCGGACGTGTTGAGGGCCTGTTTGGTTCCAATAAGTCATCCGACTTATAAGTCAGGTGACTTAAAACAGTGACTTATAAGTCACGCCTGTTTGGCTGTCACCTTACTTATAAGTCACCTGACACACCTTTCCACACCAATCAACATCATGCAGGTGATGGGACCAACGCAAAAGGGGTGACTTATAAGTTTTTAAGTTGGGGTGAAGCAACTTATGACTTATAAGTTGGGGTGACTTATAAGTCGGGTCTGTTTGGCAAAATAAGTCCCCAGCGGATCCCGGTGCACCAAGCGCGGGGGCACTGGGAGTACAGGCAGCCTCTCGCCTACCACGACGTGACGCTGCCGCACCATTGGCACTTGGATCCCCAGCGGATCCCGGTGCAGGCGATTCCGTGGAGCCAGCGGGCGCATGACGACGAGGTGCGCTGGCGCCGCGCTTAGCTCACGCCGGAGCAGCGTCGGCGGCGCGAGTACGCTACCGACTCTCCCAACTGGGAGGCTTGGTTCGCCCTCGAACACGAGGAGCAACGTCACTCGGGTATCGACGCCATCCCATTGCTGTTCCCACCGCCGCCCCCGAAGGTACAGACGGAGGACGAGGAGGAGGTGGAGTACCAGGCCGCCCTCGAGAAGGCCTTGCAGCAGTCGCTGGAGGCTAGCCGCCTCGAGCAGGACGCGCGCTGGGATGGGGTGGAGCAAGCCCTCGCCCTGTCGGCGGCAGGGGACTCCGTCCACTCCCCGCTGTTTGTGCTGCCATAGCCACCGTCGCCGCCCATCCAGCCCAAGCCGGACCCAGAGCCGACGCGGAAATGCTCCCCGCCTCCAACCACTTGGCCGGAGGAGGCCTACTCGTAGACGGGCTAGTACCGCGAGTGGGTGAGCATGCCCCCCGTCCACTTCGCCGCGGCGCCGGAGCAGGAGGCCGCCCACCTCGAGCGCTGGAAGGCGCACTTGCTCCGCCAGGAGCAGGCCGACGGCGAGCAGCAGATGCGCTACGAGGCCATGCTCCAGCGCGATGCGGAGGCGCTCCGGCTAGAGAAGGAGGAGGAGGAGGAGCGCGGCTAGCCGCAATGCCGCCGCCCCAGCGGACGCCGGGGCGGACGCCGGAGGTGCTGCCCTGGCAGCGAACCAGGCGACGTTCGGGTGGGAAGGCCCTGCTCCCGTCTTCATCGACCTCACCGGCGATGGTGACGGCGGCATCGACGCCAAGGGCAAGGGCAAGGCCGGCGACATCTAGGGCAGCGTGCGGGGCAGCTGAAGGTGGGCGCAAACATTTTTAATGTTTTAGTTAATATTTAATTAGGTATAAGTGGACTTTGGCCAGCGTTTGACCGGCCACTTATGTTTAATTATGTTTATTTTAAGTTTATTTCGTGCGACCATTTTTTTTGCATGCCAGCACATTTGGGTCTATCCCCGTTGAGCGGCCAAGTCGACCCATTTTAAAATGCGGACGCGCACGTTCGCTTGGCCGACCCAAACGGACGAAAAGCGGACAAAAGCGGTGTCCGTTTGGATCGGCCCATTAGAGTTGCTATTACTATGCTGTTGGTATTACCTTACGCATAACTCTTCGGGATACCTGCAACACACGTCCATGCATTCCATCCACCTACGGTTCAAACGTTTCCCGCGGTGCCCACCTACCGTAGCGCCCGCCAAAAAAAATAAAAAGGAAACGACGACAAAGAGACTGAGATCACTATTGGATGTCAGTCATCCATGTGTTGTTGTTGGTGGTGCTTGGACGTGTTGAGCGTGCGCATGAGTGGGCCGGCCTCCTGTAAATTTTCGGTACTGTCGTTGTCGAGGAACGTGTTTCGCGTGGTGGGTTCAGCTCGAGGGACTTCAAATGCTCCACCATGCAAAA